CTGGAGACAGATGATGGGAGAGGACTTGAACGGGATCTGGTCATCTCCCACTGAAAGATGTACCCCCGGGGTTACAAGGCTCCCGGGCACCCTCTTGGAGCCCCATGGAGACGCCTCGTTCATTGGCTTTTGTCTGCCCTGGGTTTCCCTGATAGCTCAGTTGGTAAAAGAATCTGCCTGCAATGCAGGACACCCTGGTTTGATCCCTGGGTTGGGAAGATCCCCTGGAGAAGGGAAAGGCTCCCCGCTCCAGTATTCTGGCCTGGAGAATTCCGTGGGCTGTATAGCCCATGGGGTTGCAAAGAGTCGGACACAAGTGAGTGACTTTCACTTCCACTTTCACCAATGACGGCAGCTGGTGGACCAGCCTGGCAACGGCTCCACATTTTCTCCTAAAGCAGACGACTAGGCTTACGACACAGTCTTGAAGTTGCAAAATTTCTGATGTTTGGGACAGCTGCCTATCTCTTACCAGGGATAAGTGTAAGTTTCCACACTTGAGGCCAAACCCCAACTGTATAATTGCAATCTGGGAAAGATGTGGCTGATCAGCATCCTGTATGGAATAGGACTGAGCAGTTGAGTCAACAGTGACCAGCCCCTGAAAAGGCTAACAAAAAATCTGACTGTGCTAATGAGTGTTTTATGGCCAGAGAAAGGAGAGGAGGCCCGGAACACAGGACCACTGGAAAGTTGCAACTGGTCTGGCTGTCATAATTTATGAGAGATAGAGAAAAACTGGAGCAGGTTCTGAGAAAAGTGAATTGGATACAGAAGACTGCTCTGCCCACATATGACAGATTTTGGAACGAGGATTTGACATTGTGAGTGGCCAGCTCTGAGCAGTCAATGGACCAGAGGTGGCAGTTCTAGGGGAAGAAATTTGACCATGTAAATGAAATGGTTGGACCAGATGAGCTTTAAGGTCACTTCCAATTCAAAAAGTCTGTAATCTGGCATGTCTCTTCTAATGCCTGTTTACCCCACTTTGGACAAATTATTGGAAAAAAATATTTCTCCCTAATAAAAGGGAGAACCTGGCTTATTTTTCATGAAGAGCTTCTGAATGGTGGCTGTGTGCTATCTTTTTTCATTAAAAAGGTAAAATAAGTGTGTTCGGAAAACACAAGGCAAAAAATGGAAAACACAAGGCAAAAAAGGATGGTTCACAAATAGAAATATGCCCATTCACTCATTCACATCACTGAGCAGACTAAGGCCACAGGGCAACAATATGGTGTAGGAGTGGGATTCACGATCTCTAATTCATTGGCAGAGGTAAGATAAATCATACAAGAGAAAATTCTGAATAAACACGGTGTATCTTTATTGGTTTGGGTTTCACAGGTGGCTCAGTGGTAAAAAAATCCACCTAACAGAACAGGCGACTTAGGAGATGTGGGTTCGATCCTTGAGTCAGAAAGACCCCCTGGAGAGATGGCACTCCACTCCAGTATGCTTGCCTGGAGAATCCCATGGACAGAAGAGCCTGGTGGGCTATGGCCCGTGGGGTTGCAAAGAGTGGGACACAACTTGGCTACTAAGCACTGCTACTGCTATCTGTATTGATTTAGACACATCACTTAGACATATCAGCTAGTCTACCCTTAGACAGATTCTGCAAAGCACATGGTAAGAATACACTGGTTCTACTGCCCATCCCGTTGTCCAAAGGTAGTCTGATTACATGAACTTTAGACTATGAGGGCTTTACAGACCATATTTAAAAAATACAGCCCTCTCATTTCAGAAGGGAAGCACTGTTGGCCAGAGAAATGAACTGATGCTGCAACCGGCCTAGTGACAGAGCTGGGAATGAAACTGAGATCCTTTGATTCCTGACCCACTATGTTTTCACCTTTACTGAGGTGCTCCCTCTGCCCACCAAAGGTTGAGTGCATCCCTCATCCATCAATTAATCACTTGTTGATCACATATATGTGCCTAGCTTTGCATCAAGGACCCTATGACTTACAATGTATTATCAGATACATCTGCATCCTGCAGACGCCCAAGAACCATCTGGGGAAAAACATTCCCACCAAATCCTTGGGTAATCTACACTAATCAGGCCACTTTCCAGATACAAGGCCCATTTGAAAAAGTTGGGCCACAGATCCAACTCTGCGGATCTACCCACTTTCAGGATATCCTCTCAAAGAAATATTCTCATCACTAGTTAACATATTTTACAAATTCAAGACCTTTAGTGAAACCAAAACTCTGCTGGGCATTTAAAAATATACTTTATGATTGTATTTGCCTAACTTTCTTTCTTCCCTAACTTCTATTTTAGGTATTATCCTAAGAATCCTTGTAATTCATACATTTTTTTTTCACCTCTTCCTCTACATGAGGTGACAAAAAGGACAAAGGACTGGTGTCATGGGACATGCAGCTAGCCATCTGGGCAACATCAGAGAAATCTCCCAGCCCTGCTAAGCCCTGAAGATTCATCTGAAACAACGGGGAAAACTATTTGTTCTGCCTACCTCACAGGTTTGTTGTAAAGATCAGGCAAAATCATGTGTGTAAAAGGGCCTTGAACAGTGTAAAATAACGTTCAAATGTAAAGTATTAAATTCTTTGCCCTTTTCCCTGGTTTTTCTAAAGTGATATTCAGGCTTTGGCGTGCCCTTATTGGTCTAGTGTACTTAAAGTGGGGTCACCGCTCTTAAACGCACTGGAGCAAGCGCTGCCAGTACTTTTGCTTTAAAAATAAGAAAGCTGTCCTGTCCTTGGAGCAGGTAACAGGAAACGCTTGCTCAGTGGCATCTCCTCTGCTCAGGTTCGGCTGGCCAAAATGCGTGGCAATTCCAATTCACTTCTGTTCGGTTCAGACCTGGGGGGCCCCCAGAGAACCCCACCGAATGGAACCTTCCTGGAGTGCTCAGATGCCCTCTGTGTTCTGTTTTCATCGCCACTGGGATAATGTCTCCACCTCATAGCGTTGTTGTAAAGATTAAATGAGTTAACTCTGCGACCAAGACTGAAACAAAAGAAATATTCGGTTAAGTATTAGCGGTGTCATGAGTTTTCCTTCTTAATTAGCATCCACTTGGGGCGCAGAACTGTGCTAACCTCCTGGAATACACAGGAGACACAGTTTCTGTTCCTGCAGGGGTTAAAGTTCTATCACCGGAGGCTAGGGTTAGGAGGTTTAGTGAGTTAACATTCCCCCCACCCCACCCCCAGATACTTTGCTCCGCGAAGAATGCCCCCTTAGCTGACTTCCTGCGCGCTGGTATTCGGAGCTCGTCGCCTTGGGGTCAGAGCCCTTGTAGTCGCTCCCAGGAGCCTGATTCAAGTTCTGGCCTTGGATCCTACGGCATCCGCACACCCCAACCTTGAGCGGCTTTCGAACTGAAACGGTGAACGGCGCTTCCAGCCCAATGGAAGCTGGGAACGTGTGGGGGCCCCGGGTGGCCGAGAAGGGGCTTGAAGAACTCTGAGCTTCAGGGTCCCGCAGCCACGCGCAGCAAACTGCTTCTTGGCCTTGTTCGACTCGTGAGGTTTGCGGTGCTCTCCAAGTGGCTGGAGAGCGGCCGCGGAAGCAGCGTGCGGGCGCCGCGGTCCAGGTGGCGGGGAGATCTCAGCGAAAACATAGCGGGGGCGCGGAGCCGCGGACGGCGGCGGCGTCAGCGCGTCCAGAGGTAGCGGTACACGTGGAGAGGAGGAAACTTTGCGTGCCCGGGAGGATCGCATCGGCCGAGGAGCTCGCCCAGCGGGGGCCGCGAGGCTGGGCTGCGCCGCGGGGCTGGGAAGGGACGACCGCTGGCCCTCCGCGGGACGCGCTCCCAGCCCCCTCCCTGCGCACCCCACCCCCTTCCCTCCGCCGCGCACGCAGCGCCGCGGTCCCTGTCAGAAGCGGCCGGATCCGCCCCAGCCAAGCAGGGCCCGACTCGCACCCAGGACCCTGGGCCTCCGCCTTCGCTCTAGCCTGGGAGACGCATCGGGCCCTCCTCTCCTCCCGAGGAGGACGCGGGCGGGCAGGACGTCCCAGCAAGGCCGGCCGCCCGCGGCCACGTCCCGGCCCGGCCCGGGCGCGCCGAGGAGCGGAGCCAGGGGCCGGCGCTCGCTCCGGCTCCCTCCCGGGCGCGCCGGAGCCGGGGGCGGCCGCTCCGGCTGCAGCCTCGAGGGCCTGCGCCTCCCCCGGCCGAAGCTTCCCGCAGCGCTCGGCAACTTCTTTTGGCTCCTGCCACGGGGAGCGAGTTCACCCATCAGGTAAGGAAGGCTGCCTGTTCCTAGGCTCCAGCTCGGGCGGGCGTGTTTCTGAAAGTTGATTTGAAATGCATCCAAGAGTGAGCAGGGCCAGCCGCGCTCCTCCCCGAGGCGACTTCTTCGCTTCTGCAGACATTCCCGGCACCGGCCGACCGGCGGGCGGACCTCCCTGCGCGCCCAGCGCGCCCCTGGCAGATCCCAGCGCCCCGAGTCTGGGAGCTGGCGGGACGCTCTCCGGATCGCTCGCTCTGCCCCTTCTCGGCCGGGGCAGGTGAGGGACGCAACGCTGCGGGTCCCGGCGCGGGCTGTAGACCTCATAGTTCCGCGTGCCTGGGTTCGGCCCCGCGAGGGAAAATACCCACTTCTTTTTTCTCTTACACTAGTAGCTGGGTTCCCGCCGAGGCATCCCTAGGGCCCTGACTGGTATAGGTTGGGGCGGAGTCGAACTCGGGGTGGGGAAACCTGGGGCTGGGGACCTGGCGAGGGGGTGGGGGACAGGGGCAGGAGAAACGCAGTTGGGGGGCGGAGGCCTAAGTACTTAACGCGTTGGCTTCGAATGAAATCAGATCAGTCCGAGCAGTTCGCTGTGACTGCTTTCTCTCCTCCTAGCCCACGTTTCTCTTGGCTGAATTCTACCCTCGCAGCTCGTTCTGGTCACCCTGGACACTCCCTCCGTCCTTTCCCGAGTGTGGCGGCTTGCGTGTGCCGCGTCCTAAAGGGTTCAGACGCCCAAAGCGTCGTTTCCTCTCCTCTACAGGTCCACCCCGCGCGGCCCGAACATGCTGGACGGCCTGAAGATGGAGGAGAACTTCCAAAGCGCCATCGAAACGTCGGCCTCCTTCTCCTCGCTGCTGGGTGAGTGTTCAGGCCTTGCGCCTCGGGCGCACTGTCTTTCCGCCAGGCCCCAGCTCTGGCGTCCAGCTCGCTGGGACACAGCTGTAGGGGAGCTAGCGCCCCGCTTCGCGCACTCAGTTGAGCTCACTCCCTATCTGTCAGAACCTGTGGGTCCTCCCCACCCTAAACCGACCAGCCGCCCCAGGCCTCTTGGGCCGGGCACCGAACTCCCTAGAGCCGAGAGGGGCGGGCGAGCTTGCTCGCGGGCGTTTGAATGGCAAGTGATTAAAAATACCCAAGGCTGGATTTTTAATCATAGAGCAGATCGACATCTCATAAATGCCGCCCTCTTTTCCGAGACTTAGCGATGCGCACACAAACCCGAGGTCTGGAGCACCCAAGTTCGAGACGGCTTCTTGCCTCCAACTCCAGCCCCAGTCTTAGCCTCGAGCACCGCCAAGAGGCTTTTCCGGGCGGGTGGGCAGCGCATCGCGGGGATTAGCCCGCGCGGCGGGGCCCTAGCCTCGGCTTTAATTAACTGGTGCCGGATCTCTCGTCTCGCGGGTCCCGCTCCCTCCTGGGTCTCCCCAGTCCCTTCGCAGTGACTGCGGAGGAGCAGCGAACCCCGGGCCTCAACCCAGATGCAGGTCAAACCGAACCGGAGCCAAGGATTCTCACTCCCACCTCGCCGCCCTCGATGCTTTTCAAGTTTGGTGAATGGGAGTTTTAATTTTTTTAGTCGGGGAGCGGGGTTTCGTTTTGTCATTTAAACCCCTTGCCTCTTTTCCTAACTCGGAACAGCTAGAGCGGGGTGTAGGCGGAGGATGAGACAGTTCGGCGGGAGAAACCGGACTGAGGGAGGAAATCCTCCCCCCACTCCGCCCCCCAACTCCCCAGATGAAACGAAATCGCGTGCGCCGCGTTCCCCTCTTTGAACCGCCTTGTCGGAAACTTCCCGACTCCATACAGCCTCGGAAGAGCCAGAGGGTCAGAGCTGGCCCGGACCTAGCGCAGGGCGCGCTCGAACGTCTGGCGTTCAGCGGGCATCGCGGCGAGGCCGGTGCGCCCTGCCCGTCTCAGGTCCGCTCTCTGCGCCCGGGGTCGCGGCCCTAGACGCCGAGACAGGGCAGAAAACCATAGGAAATATTTTAAAGAGCCCACTACTTCTAGCACTGCCTGCCTGAATCCCAAGGTGACTGGCCCCGCTCCTGAGCCGATAGCTGTGTCTTCTAAGGGGAAAGGGGCCGAGTGTAGCAGGGAAACTTGGGAGCGTCAGGCCCTTTGGGACATCTCTCGCAAAAGTATTGTTACTGGGGGACAAAGCATCTCTAAATAGCTGTGAAACGTGCCGACAGTGAGAGAGGTGGCCGCACACCCCACAACCCTTAAAAAAAAAAAAAAAACCCTCCCAACCCGCACCCGAAAACTAAAGGAACAAAACTGCCCCGAGTGCAGAGGTTAGGATTGAGAAGAGTCCTTTTCCCTCTGAGTCGGTTTGGGTTCGGTTTAGCCCTCTTTCGTGACTGCTGAGCTAGCCTGATTCCAGGAACACTGGCTGGACACTGCAGTGTCTTGGAGTCCTGCTTCTTTCCTCCCCAGCCCACCCTCCCGCCCCGCCCTTCTCTCCGTTTTGATGTTTTTTAATTATGAAAAAACCCATCTGCAATTTGCAGGCCATCCAGCACTTTGGGGCTCATTGGTTTGAACAATACCGTTTGCCTAGGGCGGGAATGGTATTTTCTTGCAGGCACGGGACTTTTTAGGAAGCAAAGAAAATGTATAAAGTTTTTCTCCAAATAAATAGAACAAAATTGCATTTTAGCAAAGGACAAAACCAAACAACAGAAAAATTATTTTTACACACTCATAGTTTTAATCATAGACAATGGAGACAAGCATAGTGAATTATTTGATGATTAGCTGATTAACCTGGGAGCACAAATTTATTTGTAGGCTGGTTTTTACATGAGGTGTGCAGGATTGTGCATACCTGGATAGGTTTGATAATTAAAGGCAACTTATTAATTTCTGCCCCCTCCCCAGGTAGAATTTAAAACCTTCCCACATGGTCCCTGTATCAGAAACGCTGTTTGGTTTGGTTTGTTGTGCTCTCCCAATCTCGGCTTGGACGTTTAGCAGGGGGCTTTCCGGGGTGGGGCCCGCGGGGGTAATCCCTGAGTGTGGAGTGATGGATCTGTGGCGGTGCGGGCTGGGTTTGGGGGCCATGCTGGGCCAGCGCGGCTCATCGGTGGACGTCTGTTGCTGCTGTAGGCAGAGCGGTGAGCCCGAAGTCTGTCTGCGAGGGCTGTCAGCGGGTCATCTCGGATAGGTTTCTGCTGCGGCTCAACGACAGCTTCTGGCATGAGCAGTGCGTGCAGTGCGCCTCCTGCAAAGAGCCCTTGGAGACCACATGCTTCTACCGGGACAAGAAGCTCTACTGCAAGTTTGACTACGAGAAGTAAGTGCCGGCGCCGCGGATCGCTCCCCACACTGCCTCAGCGGGCTCGGGGGACCCTGTCCTCCTTACCCCTCACCCGCTTCTGGAAGGTGCAGGACGCACCCGCGTGCCCAGATACGCAGGTGCCATCCTGTAAGCGTCCCGGGGCAGCGGAGGCCTGCGCCGACGCGCGCAGCAGTGGCCGGGGCCCCACAGCAGCGCCAAGGGACGGCTTTCCCTGCAGTCTGCTTGTCCAGTTTTCTGGACCTGGCCATCCCCCCGAGGACACTCCACTGTGGACACTCGTATCCCATCCCACCGACCTTGTCTCTCCCTTCCCCGCTTCCCTGGGGTGCCCCGCCGGGGTGGCGCGGAGCTGCCCGTGGCCCGCCTCTGCTCCCCGGCTCCCTCTCCGCACCCACCTGTCTGTGCCTCCCAGACGCCTCTGCGCAGCGCTGAGACTGTGCCCCACAGCTTGCATGCCCAGTGCTCCTTCCGTCCTCGACTTTGTCCACTGGGGTCCCCGACAGCTTGCGCTTCAGGCACAGCGCTGTTGCTCCTCTGAACTCCGAGGCTACGCACACCCCGCTGGCTTTTTCGCTCCCTGTATTCTCCCCACCCCTTACACCGTTTTCTCCAAAACCCTGGGCCACACGGGCAGCTAGACCACGTCGTCCATCCTCCGCCTCCTCCCTAACTCCTGTCTGGGGGTGCGTTTCTGCCGCGCGGCAGGTTCGACAGGAGCCCGTCTTGCCCGGTCGACGTGAACCTTCTGGTGTGTAATGAGGAGAGTGAGGAACCAGGTATTGAGGGAAGTGGACTATTTCAGTTCTAGCTCTCCACAATGTCTAAAGCCTGGATGACACTGGGGAATGGGAATTTGAAGGATTTGATGGCTCCGGCCAGGGCCGCCGGCTAAGCAGAGGGTGAGGTGGGGAGGCACTGCTTTTCCGGGTCAAAAACGGCGAAATAATGGGGACACCGACTTCACAGAGGCGTGGGGGTATTGAAAGAAAAATGGCTGAAACGGAGGCCTCTGTTTTTGTACTCCGGACTGGTCTAAGTGACGGAGTGCCCTGGGGGAACGCGCAGGAAAATTCCGCATTTGTCACTGGTGAATAAAAGGGACAGCAGTATATGAGGAAAATCAAGGGAGGTTTAGTGTTCATGAAAAACAGTTCCTATGATGTTATTAAAAACACACCATGAAATGAGGTGTGTGGGGGAAATCTCAGTATAACACAAAAAAGCTCAGAGAGAGAGAACAGAAATATCTTCTTTTTTTGCCTGGACTCTAAGGTTTACTGCAAACTGACAGAGTCATCAGATCCAGTGACCACACACAAAAATTCTTTCTGCTGTTCACACTCCTTTGATACAGTATTCCTGCATTTTACCCCCGTGTGGATAGAGTACTGGACATTTTGCTTTGTTTTGAAAAGATAACTACATTTTTCAGCACATAAAAAATAGAGGTTTGATTTTGAATGAGTTGAGCAATACAGAAATAAGGAGAGAAGTGCATCACCATTACCCAAAGTGGTAACTGGTTGTACATTTTTTAAAAAAGACGATGTGCCTGTATCTGTTGTTGATTGCTCATTGCCCTAGTGTCTGAGTGAAAAGTGCGATTTTTAGGTAATTAAGCAAATTTTGCACACACAACTTAAAGTACCACCTTTGGATAAAGCTTCTGTTCACTGCCCACCCCCCCCCCCCGCCCCGCCCCATTGCTGTCTGAAAGTTTTGGGATTTCGTAGACCCAATCTTTATCTTTGTGCTTATAGATTACTGAAATGTCCACATCCTTCAGGCACAACACTAGCAAATTCAAAAGTATGGGAGCTTAGGAAAGGATTTAGGTGGTGAATTTCTATTCTGTTTGTGAAAAAAAAATCACGAATCAAAGAAGGCTCACGGGTCAACACAGCTGTCTGGCCAGTCAAATCTTCTTTAAGGAAGTCAGGCTGTGTCAAGAGGAGAAGAAACAGTTGTTGTAAAGTACTTAACACAGCAATGTCCCCTCACTGCAGCCTCCCAGGTTTGGCGCGGTTTGGGGCTGATTAGCCCACTAGGGTCAGTTCTCCCCACACAAAGCTATTTCTGCGAAGGGAAAATTGCAGGGATCAACTTGCCAGCTGTTGGCCAGAACCAGGAAGATTTTACAGAGTAGTGTGAGCGACATTGTTCAGAGAGGTGTTGATGTTGCCATGAGGGTTTTTCATTTTGATTTTAACACAGATGTCCAAAATGGAGTTGCTTATCTCTTTTGCTCACCATCAGCACTTGTGTGTGCCCAGCGCCCCCATTGTCTTTTAGATTAATTTAATTACGGTTTTTCTCTGCTGTCTCCCATCTACATCCCATTCTTCTTTCAACCAAACCGGGATGCAGTATATTTGGTAGTCTTAATGACATTAGTCTTCATGGTAGTTGCTGTAAAATGGGAAGGGTGGGGGGTTGTTTGTTTGTTTTAAAATTAGGCTCAAGACATTTCCCTTTATTCAGCAAGCTCTTTGCTGAATATTCAGCAAGACATTTCCCTTTATTCAGGCAAGGAACTAGACTTGGTGATGGGAAAATATTGAGAAAATGTCTCAAAGCCTGCCTTCAGGAGGCTTATAGCCTATATTATCCTAGCTATTGAGTATTTGTTGTAAACCTCTGCTTAGACCATAGGACTAAGTATTGAATAGAAGTTGTCTGGAAGAAATTTATCCTATGGGGGATGCAATTTAATGTTAAATAATAGTCATAAAACAGACAGCACATTTCCTCTTTAACAAATGCATTTATAGAGATAGTTTTTGCCGTTTTCCTTTGGATCTTTTTAAAAATTTGAGGCCCAGCCAAGGCAAATGGAGAGGAAATTAAGATAGAAGTTAAAGCTATAGGACAACACTGGTGGTGAATTATGGAACAATTCACAGAAATGAACATTCAGGCAGTGCCCTTGTCTCCAGAATAAATGGAGTTCAAATGCTATTTCTGCACATTAAAAAAAAAAAAAAACCATATAGCTAATGTGCAGTCTTCAGTGGAGTTCATAAACATATTAACACAGTGGCCTTATCATATTTATGTTAGCCATTTGTATGTGCATTTCTGGCTGTTGGGCACTTTTGCATTTGAATTATGAACTGCCTGTTCATGGTGTCAGACAGCCAGTTAAAAAGTGAAAATTCTACTCTATCAACTAGTTGTTGCATCTTCTTGATGTCAAACACCATATTTGTCTAATTTTAAAAAACTGAATTGACAGTGGCATTTTAGACGTACAACCATCCACTTGAGGACTTCAGGGCATTTTGTTAAATATTTGTCTCATACTTATGACACTCTTAGGAATAATTTATCTTCTCAGCATCCAAAACAAATAAGCATTTAAAGCTGGAGTGTAGAAAACTGATTTATGAATATCCAGAAATTAAGAACTGGAGGTGACCTTTATTGTTCACGACATGGCCATCAACGAAAAATAGCTAGTTTGGTGGGATGATACAAGCACAGAATTGCTGAAGGAGCATCATGTCACATAAAACTCAGGATGCTATAGGTGTAGATGCTTAAACGCTGGACTCAACTGTCTTTGACGTTCTTGAAAGCTAGTAAATAACCAGTGTTTTTCAGCTTGGGGAAACTTCTACTTGTATAACTATTGTTCCCTATTTAACTGAGTCCTCTAGGATCTGGTTGGTTTGGAGTTTTCCGTGAATGTGTTCCAGACAAATACTGTAGCTGGACTTAAGTTGGAGACAGAAGAGGCTGCTGATTAACAGGAATGTGGTGATACAATAGATAATTAAGCCTTCTGGAAGAGATCCCACATTTAAATCAAGTTTATATTGTTTCTTTCATGTGCCTGGCGGCTGTGTGTGTCAGGCAGGGCCCTCTCCCCTCACATATGAAGTTTATCATCATCCCTTAGATTGTTCTGGACATCCTAGGAGCAGTGTGGGATAGTATTGCTGTCATCAGGGTTCCTCTTATAACATCATAACTCCCCACATGTCAGCAAATCGCAGGTCTTGGGAAACCTTCTCTCAGAGGACCAGTCCATGTGTTCCACCCTTTCTTTTGGAGCAGACCAATTTTTCTGAAGAAAGGGACTCCAATGAAGCAAAGTGCATATCCTTCATCAGAACTTTCTCTGTATCTTTCTTTCGACCTGCTGATTGGCAGCCCCAAGGAGGAAATTGCTGAGGTAATGATCTCTATTAGGATCAGTAATGGACTAATACTGGATTTTATCAAGGTAGTGTAGGAGGTGTGTAGGGAGGAGAGTTAGTTTGGTTTTATTACTGTGACATTACTTGGAGATCAAAATTGGGCATCAGTTCCTCATAAAAGGAGCCCGCAGATGAAATTACAGAGGCAGTTGTTAGATTTTTACTTTATCTTCTGTTGGCCCCACGCCTGGCATGGTAAAATTTAGGAATATAAAAATCAAACACAGCTAGGTATTAAATTGATGTGCGCATTAAATTGCAGGGGGCTCTTAGCTTGGGATAAGCGTGGTCCATGGGCTGTGACTGTGTTTGTGCAGGCTGACTTATCTCTTTTTTTATTTAAAGGATGATTGGAAACAGTCTTTGTTCAGAGGTGTTTTCTCTTTTTATATGAATTGGTCCCTAGGTAGGATTTTCTGAATCTCAGACTTTAAATGTTGAAATAAAATTAGAGCGTAGGAGTAGATATTAATAGTATTCTGGGGATTAGATATGAACATTTCCTTTCAGAGTCGGCTTGTGGGATTCTTTTTATCCTTAACGTAAATTGAGCATGTTAAAAAAAGTTATTTATTCAACCCAGTTTTGCATACTATAGAGTTCTGGGATTTTGTCATCCACCCAGCTAAGGAGTTGCTTTTGCTGTTCAGATTTCAGTGACAAGAGCTCTTCTGGTAATTCATTGTTTGTGTTGCTTTTTAGTTTCATTTTTCTTATTTATAACTTTTGTATGACCCAAAATACTGTTACTAATTTTAGAGAGCCCTCTTCATTGTTGCTTTTATTTCTGGG